AAAATAATGAAGTAATTTTTACCAATATATCAAGCATTATAATAGCCTATAACAAGCATTATAATATAACAGTAATATAACAAGCATTGCAATTCGATAAACACTATTAAAACAAGCCTTGTAATAGAACAAGCATAGTAAAATATAGGAGCCACTGTAATATCGCAAAAATTATTATATATCAAACATTTTTATAACAAGCCTTGTAATACATCAAACACTATTATAACAAGCCATGTAACGTAACAATCAAGTAAGCATTCGATCAAGCTGAAGGGAAACAAGTCATCCTTTTACTGAAATTTAACATAATTTTTACAATTAAAAAAAAAACCAGCCGATGGTCGCCAGAAAGAAGAGCCTTCAATAGATCAAATTCCTCGCGTGCCCGTGTTAAGGCCTCTGCAATTATTTACCTTGTGGGCAGATAAGGCAGGTGGGGCCTACACGTGGCATAAACACTGTCAATCTACCTCTAGACAAACTGATGAGGGTTTATTCCCGGGTGGCTCCACCTCCTTATTTGTCACCATAATCCTGATCGTCTGCCCGCGTGATTTGTAACAGCCTGGTCGTCTGCAAAGTGATCTGTAACAGCTCCCTAAATATATTTTTGTCCAACCCTCCACGTTTAATAACACTGATTACGAAAAAGTTATCCAAAAATTTCCTTCATCGTTACAACTCTTCTTTCCAGATTCTTCTCATTTACCTCCCTTTACACTTATCTCCCCTTGCAATGCGTTTTGCTTAGGGTTTCTCAAAGATGAATGGAAACGTTTAAAATAATATAAAAAAGCTAATAAATTTACTGTTTTCTCCGCATAGTTTTTGTACGTTTATATCATTTCTAGGTCTCTTGGTCGAGACAAATATCCTAGACATCTCAAGGGACATCCCGGGATGAAGAATATTTTTCTGTTGAAAATTTGTAAGAAAGAGTTAATCATCGTTAGCTTGCGACTTTCCTTGAACAAAGGGACATAAGCAGTAGGTTTTTGTTTTTTTCTGCTACAGACGCCCACATAAGCGAGGTTTCTCTCAACTCAATGAAATAATCCCGCTAATTTTACGGGCAATTTGTTCAGCTTTAAAAACGATTACAAGTCTGCTTTAAACTTGTGGTTGGTGTTTTTTTTTTTTTTTTGTAAAAAAAATTTAGCAGGGATAGTAGAAATGTGACAGTATTTTATGTGAGGTTGACATTTACGGACCACCCATCTTGTCATGTTATAGGACTAACTCAGTCATGTCATGTCATAGGTACTACTCAGTCTTGTCATGGGTCTCACATATTATTTCAGGTCTAACAACGGTGTCATGTCATAGATCTTACAGTCATGACAGTTATGGTGATGCCATGGCATAGGTTTAATCCAGTCATGTCACGCATCTTATATATCATGTCAGGTCTAATAACTATGTCATGTCATATAGGTCTTACAGTCATGTCATAGGTCTAATTCAGCCATGTCGTAGGTCTTACAGTCATGTGATAGGTCTTACCCAGGTGGTATTATCATCAGGCATCATGCGTATATCAAGTTCCACGAATGCGGTAGGCAGATGGCTCAGTTTGGTCTAGCTGTGTGGGACGAAGGAGGCGTCTCTGTTAAGATTGTTATAAGAGGGTAGTGATCTATTCAAATGTTATATGGGTAGGGGTGGGTCACATTTGTGTTCTATACAATCTGCACCGTCTCTTGCAATATGGCCCCGTCTTGTTTGTGTTGGAATATTCTGTAAAAAAATTTAAAAAATCGTAATAATAAGATGTAACCGACTTACAACTAAAATATTTAATCCTTTTAATTCATTCTGACATTTTAAATTACCGTGTGAGGGAAATGACTTCCAATGCAAAGGGGGCGTTTTCAAAGGTGTCAATCATACAAGTGCTCGAGGCGTGTTGAGCGACTAGTTGGTGGTAAAGTACATTGTTCAAAGTTATCTTCCTGAAGACAAAGTAGAGATCTAGGGTTGTATTGGCCGTGAACAGGGCCCCCATTAGTCGTAGGGTCCACGATACTTTCTTACATCTGTAACAAGTATAAACAGCTCCTGCAATAGTTACATGACCCACACCGAAAGTGCTTAACCAGGGACCCCCCTGGGTGGTACGTAGCCATCCCCCCTCCTCCGAATAGTACGGAGCCAGGTGTCCTCTTGCACGATGAAACACAAACACAAGATGAAACTTCAAAGTTAAAATCACGTTCTGCAAAAAAAAAAAAAATTCTTGCTGATTTAAACAAATTAGAAAAAGAAAAAATATTTGTTTAGCAATTGTTTCGTTAAAAAAAAAGTGTATGGTATCACTTTGTTGGAGTTACTTCAGACGTGCATAATAAGATTGAACCGGATTATATCTGCTTAACACTGGATTATGTAACATACAATCACCGTAACATATGTATTTATCTAACATGAAATCACCGTATTCTATCTATTTACGTAATATACGATCACCGTATTACATCGGTGTATGTAACATAAGATCACCGTATTACATCGGTGTATGTAACATAAGACCACCGTATTCTGTCTATTTATGTAACATCCAATGAGACAAGCGTCCTACCGAGGGTGGTGCAGTAATCCAACACCCACATTCCATATACTATTTGCACTAATGTGGACACGTAAGCCCCTAACATGGGTGGGGGATCCTGGGTAACTTTTTTTTTTTGGAAACATAAGTTTTATTAAAAATAAACGTGAAAAAAAACTAATTAATTTAAATATGAAAATATTTTAACTGTTTAAATCGTGTAACAATGTAAATAATTAGGAAGATAAATAATTAATTTGTATAAATAAACCGGAAGTCGCAGCAAGGCTTTCGACTTCTAGATATTTCATATGCAGGACTTACGGTATTTTCGTAAAACAAATGCCTTTACATGGGAAATAAGGAATTCAAATTTATGTATCTTGATGCGTATGAAATGCCTGAATTAGTAATTTACTCATCTCTGTGAAGTAGTCATATGTCACTAGGGCGACCGTTACAGCAAAACACTTGGGAAACGAGTGTAGTTGTCGTTATGGGTGCGGCAGTTAGTTTGTTTCCACGGTTGGTGACTTGTGGTCTTGTAATTTGATTGGTGAGCTGTCTTTGGTTTCAGGTAGAAAGAATCCATTGAGGATCATCATGCACGTTTTATTGGCATATGTATGAAAGCGCAGAGGTGGTTTACAGTCTCGTTGTTTTGTTTATAAATTATATGAGGTAGGAGTAAGATAAAAGACATGTTATATGACATTTGATTTTATTACATTCGCAACATTTCTCAATGGTTGGGTTATATAAGGCTTTGTACTTGTTTCTAATACATTTCTAAGACGCGTTTTACTCTTAACTCTGAAGTGATGTGATTGCGGAAATTTATTTTATTAAAATGCGGACATCTATTTGGTAACAAATTGTGGCCGTCTTTTTTCTTCGTTCTTTATTGTAATGGTGTACGTGATTTAATCCAACACAATTGAGTATTACGTGTCAACATGTAATGCTCTATAGGCCGTGAATTCCGAGTCAAAGTGTTGTGAGTGATGGTGAACATGTAGTGAATATAAAGTGTAATGGTCTATTGATATAAACGTTATTTGCAGTGAATTTAAAAATTTCTTATTTTTGAGCTCTCGTTGGATCATCTACATCATTCTGACATTGAATAATTTTTAACGAATAACAACATAGCGCAATCAGATGTACACCGGGTACCCAACCTGAGAACCACTGATATTCACACCTGTAGTTAAAATGTGACAAGTCTCCTCCAAATTTACCACTGACATTTTTTTTCAACCAATTTGTGCCTTCTCGTTTTTTATAACTTGTTTGACTGGGGGGAAAAAATCGAATTTAAAAAAAAATGTGATCTTTCCCAAAGTTGCTCGTGTGTGTCAATAAGTGGCACAAAAAGTGAACAAATTCGTGGCGAGAAGATTTACACGGCGGTCCGCATTAAGTCGGCTTTCAAAAACCAGCTTGAATGGTAGAGTACATAGAGTTAGCAGCAGCTAGATGTGTTGGGCGGGGGAGATCACTCCAACCACCGGTAGGTCGGAGTGATCGGACTTTGTTGCGTCGATGTTACGCATTGAATCAAGGGGCCCTACTCTATGTAGGCGGCGCGACGGTAGTTTACGTACATTTGCTCCAGACGAATGGAACGTTAAACAAATCCGAAAATAAATCTCTTGGCCTAATTGATAGCTAGCTGTCATTTCCTCGCCTTTGTAATTGGGAGGACTTGTCTCTAATTTTATGCGTATTATTATTTTCGTCTGCTTAGAAGTATGATCTTCCTAAGTGGAGGGTAGGCCATTGTTCTTGTAAACCTTTTTGTTGTAGTAAGTGTGTGTGGGATACTGAAAAGCTGTAGATTACTAAGTCCGCCTCCATATTTGTTCCTCCCCCACACAGTCCTTTAGTACTCACCCTAATATTTCCACATCCACTTGAACTTACACATTCCAACACTAACATACACATTCCAACACTAACATACACATTTCAAAACTAAAATACACATTCCGACACTAACAAACACATTCCCTCCTATTTACCCCATCAAAACATTCCCATTCCACGACACACACTTACATAATATCCCACACATTCCCCCACCACCCCACACATTCTCATTTCCCACACTATTCCACATTCTCCATCACCTTACATATTCCCTACAATCCCCACACATATTCCCCCACCCACCCCGACCACTCCACACATTCCCCCACCCACCCCCATCACTCCACACATTCCACCACTACCCAATATATTACCCACTGTTTCTCCCACTGCCCTACACATCCCCCACCACCCCACACATTCCCCACTACATCCCCCTCTACCTCTCATATTATCCACACATTACCCCACCATCCCACACATCCCCCACTATCTCCACCACCACCCCCACATCCCCCCACCACCCCTCTAATCCCAGCATGAACCACGACTCTGGTCACACCAGCGGTGAGCGTGACGTAACGCCCCACTGAGCCAGCAGACGACGCCAGCACTGGGCCACCACCAGCCAGCCCTACACAACCACAACAACCCAGCGCTAGATCAGCTCGCCATGGATCGCTGCCTCGTCCTGGGACTATTCGCCATACTCCAGGTAGGTGCCATTACAACGGTGAATCGTTACAACATACCTTTCGTGCTATGCCTGTATACCAGTTTATAACTCAATTAAAACGCGAGCGATTCGCGAGTGGTTTAAACCGCGATTGTATCTGTTGTTCCAGTCCTTTGTGTGGGGGTTAGTTTGTTTCTCTCTGTGTTTGGTTCTTGATCTCGTTTGATATTTTGTCTTATCTCTACAAACACTGAAGAACAGATTTTTATCTTGGTTTTTATAGTGGAGTTAGTTCAACGATACAATGCTAGTTTCTGGTGTAAACATTCTCGAATCTTGGGTCAATTAATACAGATGCACAGATATACAGATATAGATATAGCGTAGTGCAGTAACCCCTATGAGAGTTTTTTTTTTAAACTATTTAGAATCAATTTGAAATGTATCCGCATTCTATGTTGTTATTGGTTAATTGGGTTTACAAAAACTATTAATTTCTAAGAAGTGTACACTTGTTATAGGATTAGAGTAAACACATTCTGTCATTGTAGATTAACTAACTGTTAGAATGACATGTTAAACCACTATAGCTGTAAAGACAAGTTAAACCACCATAGCTGTAGACGTAGAGAGATGTTAAACCACCATAGCTGTAAAGACATGTTAAACCACCATAGCTGTAAAGATATGTTAAACCACTATAACTGTAGAGACATGTTAAACCATCATAGCTGTAAAGACATGTTCAACCACCATAGCTGTAAAGACAGACACATTAAACCACCATAGCTGTAAAGATGTTAAACCACCATAGCTGTAAAGACATGTTTAACCACCATAGCTGTAAAGACAGACATGTTAAACCACCATAGCTGTAAAGACATGTTTAACCACCATAGCTGTAAAGACAGACATGTTAAACCACCATAGCTGTAAAGACATGTTTAACCACCATAGCTGTAAAGACAGACATGTTAAACCACCATAGCTGTAAAGACAGACATGTTAAACCACCATAGCTGTAAAGACAGACATGTTAAACCACCATAGCTGTAAAGACAGACATGTTAAACCACCATAGCTGTAAAGACAGACATGTTAAACCACCATAGCTGTAAAGACATGTTAAACCACCATAGCTGTAAAGATGTTAAACCACCATAGCTGTAGAGACATGTTAAACCACCATAGCTGTAAAGACATGTTAAACCACCATAGTTGTAAAGACATGTTAAACCACCATAGCTGTAAAGACATGTTAAACCACCATAGCTGTAGAGACATGTTTAACCACCATAGCTGTAAAGATGTTAAACCACCATAGCTGTAAAGATGTTAAACCACCATAACTGTAGAGACATGTTAAATTACCACTGTGGTAAGGAAGAGACAGAAAAATGTCCCAACATATTTCTACCCCACACCACTGTTGACTTCCCTCTAGTTAGTTGCTATAAATACAGTTTGAATTCCCGAACCAGTTATTAAAAGGGGCCTGTCATTGGCTGTCTATTGGAATGTATCCTGTTTTTTAGAGTTTTTATCCTATTTATACCGTTGGGTTACGTCGGTATGAAGCTGTAAAAAGATTTTTGTACCGTGCTTTTCAAGCTTTCAAAGGAACGCTACGGGTATCGAAAGGCAGCAGATTTGAAAATGGACTGCGGTTAGGCAATGGTAATTTGCATTACGAATCGAATGTGATTTCGATAATCTAAAACCTGTAGGCCAATACATACATGTCTGACAAAGATTAAAATTTATTGATTGGATCGTCGGGAAAGTGGATTTGTATTGTCGTGGGAACGGACTATTGGAAAGAACATGGTCGGGTAGCTAGTTGTTCAGATCCCGTCTGTAAGCTGTGGTTTGATTATTCACACAAACATGCGGTTAATTTAAGCAAGATTTTTTTCCAATTTGACAATGATAGGAGCAGCACCAAGATGACGATGTAGTTTTCAGGAGGTATGGGAATAGCGAGGGGGGAGGGGGTCGTCTAGATGGTATGGGCACGGGGGTCGTCCATTCGGTATGGGGGTCGTTCAGCTAGTTTGGGAATGGGGGTTTCACAAAGCGGGACCAAGCGTAGTCCATTCAGTATGGGGGTCGTCCAGCTAGTATGGAAATGGGGGTTGTTCAGCTAGTATGGGAATGGGGGTTGTTCAGCTAGTATGGGAATGGGGGTTTTACAAAGAGAGACCAAGGCGTCGATTGAAACGAGTATAAAATATTTCACTAAGCATATCGTTTCTTTTCATTTCAATGGTATATAACAATGGTATATAACACACAATCTGTTATAGATAACACCGTATTTCTGAACAATCTTTGAAACATTAATGTAAACCTTTTATAAAATGCTGCATTTATCTACGAGTTTTTCCTTGCTAAAAAACGGATGCGGGTCAAAAGTCTAGAACTAGTCGAGTGATAGCTCAAGGAATCGTGTCTTTTATCTGTCGGTCAGGCACGGAGGAATGGTCTGTCTGTGACGTATAAAAGCAGGTGCCGTGCTGTGACGTGGTGCCGTGACGTGGTGCCGTGACGTGGTGCCGCATGGACTTCTGTCAACGAGGGACGGCTGGCAGGGGAGAAAATCAAATGAAGCTTCCATAGGGGAAAGGGTTAAATTTAATGTGGATGATGTTTTTTAAAATCGTGGAAACTCAGAACTAAAGATGTTTTTAAGCATGTTGTAACAATACTTTGTATATACGTTTTCTTGTGTAGTAGACATAATATCGAAAACTATCTTTTAAATACTTCTATAAATGTAATTGTACTTTAACTTTACTTCTATGCATGAAGCTGTAACGTCACTTGTAAAAGTGCTTTTAACTACTTTTTTAAAAGTCTGATTAGCTTAGGAGGATAATGGTTGGAAAAACCGTGAACACCCTCCCCCCCCCCCCCCATCCCCTCCCAACTCCTTTTCGGGCGGTTGTAAAATTAATTAAACTAGGATGTTTTGGTCGGCCACTAGAATCTTACTTAGTTAAAAACAGTAAAATGCGCTTTAATCTTTTTTTAAAGCAAATTTTAGTTCGCGTATTAAAAACATGCCTGAATTAAAAACAAAACTATAATTTGTATTCTTCAACTACATGTATTCATATTAGTTTTGATCTCTTGACGTAACCCCGGTAAAAGAAGGAGCTATGATTACCGCCCTTTGTGTGTGTGTGTGTCTGTCTGTCTGTCGGTCTGTCTGTCTGTCGACGTGTAGACCTCACACAATTTACCACAACGACCCGCGGGTTCAGGGTCGTTCGAGACATTAATTAAATGCATCTCTTCCAATATTTAATTACACTTTATTTTTGCTGATCTGTATAGCATTGACATTTAACATTATATATAAGCGTAATTAAACTTTTATTAATTTGATTAGTTTGAAATTATGCATGCACGGGAAGTTATATCTTGGAGTTTGGTGTCAGAGTTGTCCGCCCCTACTGACCATATCTGTGATGGTACTTCAAGGACATTGTTTACATGATCTTATCGTGGGCGGAACTGTGGAAGGGGAGGTGTCATTTAGATAAACCTACTTTTTAAAATATTTCAACTCATTTCAATTTTACTTAAGGGGATGTCATTAAGATAAACCTCCTTTTTAAATATTTAATTCAACTGAATTTCAATTTTACACAAGAAAGGTGCCATTAAAATATACCTACTATTTAAAATATCTCAACTGAATTTAAATTTTACATAATTAAAAACAAATCCCACAAACATAGCTTGTTACGATTTATCGAGAGAGGTTAATAATAGTCTTAAGACGATTCAGTACCTGCATACTAAATTTTTATATATCTTGTACAGCGCACCATAATTTTCATAAACGACGATAGACTATTAATTAGATGCAATAACCTACCGAACTTTACTTGAGTTCCGATGTCATTTTAGTGATGACTAAAACAATAATTTGTTGTTTAGGCTGCGTTGTTTTCTGTCGTGTGGGTTCAAATGGTTACAGTTATGTCCCATGTTGAATGCAAATAGAGAAAAATATAATGTGCTGAGCTAGAGATAGGTAGATGAATTATTAGTTAACACTCTATCAATAATAGATCAGTTCAATGTTGCGTCCTAGTTATTAGAACGACATCTACGTTACTTTACAATGTTTCAACAAAAATTTGGATATGTAATCTTCATACAACATAGGGCCAAAACTTACATCTACAGTTGTCCATGCAAAAGAATGAATATACACATGCACATACAGACATACATATATACAAGAATATACACAGATTCAATCATAAACAACACAAATACACATACACATATAGACTCACACCTATACGCACAAGCACACACGCACATACACAAGCAACACAAAATACAGATATTATACGTATACACAGAGATACACTATTTTGCACACATACATAAGCACACACACATAAACACACATATATAAGAATACAAACAATCACCGCGCTAGCTGGTCACGTGACCATTCCACCATAAGAACATCCATGAAATCACTAGGTCACTCGACCATGCCAACTCTTCCAGGCGACCTTGACCTTCCCATTACCAACGTTCCAAGGCACTTGACGCGATACCATCTTCCCTGGGTTCGTCTTAGCCAGCAATTGAAAGTTTTAATCAGCTCGGGGCTAATTAAACTACATATCTAAGTGGCAATTAATTATTCCACATTGCTGATCGGCTTATCTCTAAGCCGTGTCTGTTAATTAATATGATATATTGAACAGACTCGCCTTAATACGGTTATTACTTTGGCTGTTGCATATTAATAAAAGGATAAATTAGACAGGCTATTTGTGGCTTTTATTAGCGAGTAATTATGTTAGTTTCGTATTAACTACTGACAACATAGTACACTACTTATAAAAGGAACTGTAATTAAATACTGACATTGTAGTACATTACTGATTAAGGCGACTCGAATTAAATACTGACATCGTAGTACATTACTGATTAAGGCGACTCGAATTAAATACTGACATCGTAGTACATTACTGATTAAGGCGACTCGAATTAAATACTGACAT